CTTATTTTAAAATACACAAGATTTCGTTTTGATTTTCTTTATTCTCACTTTCTACTTCTTTTAAATTTCTTCATTAAACTTGTCTTAGTAGCTTATGAGTTAAATATATTTGCGAGAATTTTTTTTTGTAATGGTGTTCGTGTTTCGTTGTTATTCATCAAGAGTATGATTCTCTTATTTAATATCTTTGTTTGGTTCTTCAAAGTTATTCCGATAAAATCTATGTTTGGTTCTTGAGATTATCCTGATAAAAATTTTGTTTGGTTCTTGAGTATTAGCCGATTAAAATCTCTTCTTGACTCGTGAGCTTAACTTGTGTAAAATCTCTAATTTATTATAAAAAGGCTTGCGGGCATATCCTTGAAAGCTCAAGACATTTAATTATGGAACGCTCAAGAAAAAATTCTTGAGGACAAGAGTAGTCAAATGGTTAGGCTGAACCTATTATAATTATGGAGCAACCTCTCTATCCTAATCTCTTTACTATCGATTATTTAGACTTCTTTTTTCTCTTATCGTTTCTCTTATATTATCCAGTGATTTATCTCTGTTTATCTAATGAACTAATATAAATTGTTCTTAAAAAATAAAAATATTTTTTAAATTAATCACAATTTAAGAATAACATAATTCATCCCCCCTTCTTGTGTTATGAGTCATTTGTTTAACAAGTGGCACCAGAGTCTATATCCTCTTCAAGACTAATCATCCTAGGAGTAACAAAATCATTTCAAACGATTCACTTAATAAACCATCATCTTTTAATGGAGAAATGTATGTTTTATGGAGAAAGAATGTGAGAATCTTCATAAAATTGGTAGGATTTTGATATGTGGAACACTGTGAAAAACGGTCCATTTGTTCATACGCATCATGTTAATGATGTTGAGGTGAACAAAAAGGAAGAGTATTGGACCAAAGAAGAAAGAGAAAAAGTGCAGCACAATAAAAAGCGAAAACTATTATCACTACCACTTTTGATCTTGATGAGCTTTTCTGTTTTTCTCACTGCGATCCTGCTAAATAAGTATGGGGCACCCTTCAAGTTATCCATGAAGTTACAAGCCGAGGTAAATAATTAAAGGATGCACGCATTAACTCATAAATATGAACTATTCATAATGAAACTTGAAAAAAAATATTTATGACATGAAGAAATGTTTTATCCACACCGTTAATCACATGAAAAGTTTTGAAAAAGTTTTTTAAAATAAGGATTTAATTTTAAAAGTCCTTAGATGTTTAAATGATATTTGACAATTCAAAGTCACTGTTATTTTTGAATCTACGGACTTGCTATCCATAGACTTGACTACTCTCTTTGATAAATTATGGGAATATAAAATAGAGCTAGAAAGACTTGCAGATGGTAATGAAGGTGACAAAGAGAAGAAAATTTTAGCTCTTAATCTTGAAGAAGAAAAATGATGACTCTAACTATAAAGATATGATGAAGATCGCTTAGAATTTCACATATGGATGCAATTGCCTAGCCTAAGAAAATTTCTCCTAAGCCTCTTTAACTTTTTTCCAACCATTTACCAAATGCTATAAATTTAGCCAATCTCGTAAGGATATTATTTTGGCCAAATTGATTATTTTACCAAGTGAAAGTGTCACATATGTAGTTTAAATCATTTAACTTGCACGAATTTAAAGTATCGTTAAAGAGATTAGCTAAACTATAGTCCATTTTATTACCACCTTTTTTATCATTAGTGCAACTAATAGTGTTAAAATCACAACGGATAATCCAATCATTCATATTGTTATAGTTAATATAAAGATCAGTCAAGAGAGAGCAAAATAATTGTTAGTTAGTTTGTTGGGGATACTCATATTTGGATCTAACATTTTGGTTGTAGCTGATGTGAAATCATTGTTGTGCAATAACTTTTATATAAAAGACCTCGGAGAAACGAGCGTGATTCATTGTATCAAGATCATGATATCTGAGTAAGGAATTTATTTGGATCAATCACATTATGTGAAAAAGATCTTAAAGAAATATAATTAATTTGACTGTAAACCTGTGAGCACACCATACGATCCAAGCGTGAAACTGTTTAAGAACATTGGTGAAAGTGTAAAAAAAAACAGAATATGTGAGCATCATTGGCAATCTTAGGTATGTCACTAATTGTACTAGACCCGACATTGCATATGTTGTAGGATTGTTGTGCAGGTTTACTAGTAGATCAAGTAACGAGTATTGGAAAGCTATTGAGCGAGTCATGCAGTATCTTAAAAAGATCATGAATCTCGATTTGCATTACCGGATATTTCATATTGTAATTAAAGGATACAATGATGCAGATTAGAATACCTTATCAGATCATTCCAAAGCAATTAGTGCATGTATATTCAATATAGCTATAGGATTTGTATCTTGGAAATCAAAGAAAAAGATTATCATGAATCACTCTACGATGGAGTTTGAGATGATAGCATTGACAAATACTATTGAAGAAGCAAGTTAGTTAAGATGTTTGCTAGCTGAGATCCCTTTATGGAAGAAAAAAAAAACCTATGACACATGTGTTGATCCATTACGATAGTACCGCGACTATTGCAAAAATTGAGAATTGTTATTATAATGGTAAAAGACGTCAAACTAGAAGAAAGCACAACACTATTAGAGATTGTACCTTTAAAGGAGATGTAAGAGCGAATCATGTGTGCACTAATGAAAATTTAGCAGATCCTTTAACGAAAGAATTAGCTAGATAGAAAGTCTAGAATACAACAAAGAATATGGGACTAATGCCTTTCAATGGGTAATAACAAGTTGTGATTAACATGAGATAATCATGTGAGTATAAATAAGTAAATCATGAATCCTGAAGCAATAAGAGGATGAGATGATAGAAACTCTTAATGTTATATATACTTTGTATGAGGGAGTACCTAGGATACAAGAGTATTATTGATAGACTCACATATATGATTGTGGAACTTAGGTCGGTTCCTATGGAATTTCGAGGCAGAATTCCTAGAGCATTCACTAAACTGGGATACACGTGCAGGATCATTAAAGCACGGGCTATTAGAATACACCTTAAAAAAAAGGTTGTGTGTTGGTTTAATGTTTGAGATAGAGTTCAAGACAATAGTGCCACTCTTGTTGAATCAGAATCCTACTTGCTACGCAAAGATTAAAGTCGTAGACACCTTTGTTTATGCATAATCTTAGAAACATTTGACGTTACTTCTAAAACACTTTCTAAATTTAAGTAGGGGATTATTGGAACATTCTGTCAATATTTAAATATAGGGAGATAAATTTGAAAAAGTTCCTTAAGTCAAATCTCACATTGTGTGTTAATTGAAAAAACTCCTTAGTTTTACATTGTTTAGGTGAAATATATCTCCTTCATCACTTTATTATATAAGGAAAATTTCTACTTCATTCCAAAACACACCAAAAGCTCCTTTTGTTGAGTTTTTTCTTACTCACTCTCGTAACTTTGTTTCTTTCGAATTGTCGAAGTGTCAACTTCTCCCCCTTTCTCTTTCTACTCGTCGAATTTTTTGAGTACTTTCTTAAATTCTCTTTAGAAAATTATGTTCATTTCTCATCGTTTGAGTTGAGAAGTTATCAAGTATAATTTTTAGATTCTCTTTAGAGAATTATTCGAATTTCTATTTGTTTGAGAAATCATTTTGAATAGTCAAATGACTATTATTGAATTGGAAAACTATTGGAATTTCTCTTGGTTTGAGAAATTATTACGACGGGTCGTTATGTCAGATACTACGAGTAGTTTTTATACCATATTTGAATAGTCTTTGTATCATTAGAGGGTGTATTTCTAAACCGATTATCTACCGTAAAAGTAGTAATTATACAATATAAAACTAGTTGTTTTATCCTAGAGGCGGCACGCTTGTTCGACTTTTGCATAACTTTAGGTAATGCCGCAAAACGTCTTAAAAAGAGCGACTTAATCTGCAACTCTATCCAATAATTTCTTCTGTGATTAATTTTCAAAACCGTAAAACAACACCTCTTTAATTTAAATCATTTAACCTACGTGAACTTAAAGTATCATTAAAGAGATTAGCTAAACTATATAGTCGGTTTTATTGCCACCTTTTTTATCATTATTGTAACTAATAGTGTTAAAATCACGGCAGATAACCCAATCATCCATATTGTTAGAGTTAATATAAAGATCAATCAAGAGAGAGCAAGTTAATTGTTAGTTAATTTGTTGGGGCCAGTAAGTCTAGTAGAGTTTATAATCTTCTGAGAGTCAAAGTAACAATCAATGAACATTTTATTGCTATCTATAATGGACAGGTTAACACCCTTATTCCTCATAAGAACCAAACCCCTGGTCTGCCTCCACCAGCAGTGGAGCAGTCACTTACAAAATACTTATCCATATAGGCCGAAAATGATAGGAAATGTTCTTAAATTGTAGTCCTTCAATTTTATAAAATACTTACAAAATACTTATTCATGATGATGAGATTTGAGCAGATTCTTCATCGCTCTAATCGTTTTATAAATATCAACTACAATGACAAGTTTGGTTTGACAAGAATTTCAAACTCATCGTCCTTCAATTTTATTGGTCTCTTTCCCTCTTGTTGCTATATTTAAATTCTCCAATTTTCAACTTTTAAACCTTCTTCAAATTTTACAATTTTTATTTAAAAACGGATTAAAGGATCAAATTTTGGGTTGTTGCACTAATAATGAAACTATGAATTTGTGTCTTATAAATAGGGGTTTCCTAGTTGCTCATTCTAAATATTAATAAGCACCAAGATGATGTATTTTGCACAGCCATTCAAAAAGTTATGAGCATAAGTTCAAAAATGATGACGACTACTAACTCATAATTTATCAAAAAGTAGATAAGTTTATCTTACATTGATTTTTCTAAGCTAAGTTCAAAACTAAAGGTGAAAAACAAGGTTGGTATCAAACGGTACACTAGCCTTCCAACCATGAAATCTATGTATAATTATTGCAGTTTCTCTTGAAGGAACTACAAATACAATGATGCTGCAAAAACAATGTCCCTCTTGATTTTAGACACAGCCTCTTCAAACTTTGCCTCAAGTTCAGTTTCTCCAATTGACTTGGCTGCTTCTATTAACTGCTGAAGAACTTCCTCGAGTCTTCTAATTGATCTAATCAAGCTACCTTCGAAAACTTTCGTAATCTCCATGATCTCATAGAACTTTGAGCCTTTCGCCCAAGCATACACAACCTCCATAATATCAGGTCTAAATGACTTTACGAAAGTGTCAACGTCAATTTGTACCTGTGTTTTATATAGAAAAAATGAGATATGATAACTTGTTAAAGCACTTTACAATTACAGATGCGTAGAAACTTCGGCAAAGTAAGAGATACCAAATCTATAGTATTCAACCAATTGCAGTTAAATGCTCGTAATGTGATGATTGGTATTCAGAGATTACCTTGCATTCAAGCTGAAGTTGAGCAACTCTCCGGGCAGTGTCTTGTAATTGTGAATAGAGCATATCAAGTTCTTCTCGAGGTTTGGCAGCATCGTTGATTTTTTCTCGCCAGACAAAACAAGACAGGAGAGAAATCATCTCCTCTACTTTTATGTCCTTGAAGACACCGTTGAACATGAGTTCTGTTAGGGTCAATTCATCTGCACTACTTATTTCACAAGCAACCTTCCCTTTCAAGTCCACGACATTGTCACTTGTAGCATATCTGCATACGAAGATCTCACATTGTCATTAGATTGAAAAAAGCATGTATAAAACCATTATTAAGAAAAGAATCACATTCATAAATTAGATTTGGACGTTAATAAGTTAGCTCTTCATTTTTGCAAAAATATTTGACAATTTTTATTACCCTAGCCTCCGAAGAACCCTCTTCCTTGCCTTGAGTTCATCCTTGAAAGCTAAAGTAGTAGACGATCTTAATGTTTTCTTAATTGACTTTATTTTTGCAGTCAGCTCTTGCTTCCTCTGGAAAACTTTTAGCTTCTGCTTTATAAGCGGTGACTTTGCAATTTCATGCTTTTCAAATAGCCTCTCCAAAGCCTCTATCCTTCGTGATGCTTTCTTGTACGAGCTACTTTGAATCTGAAAAAATATAGGGTTCTAAGTGTTAAGAGTCTCACATCGGACAATATATGGCATGAACTTGTGTTTATAAGTGGGAGCAATCCTCACTCTACCAACCGGTTTTGTAGGGTTGAGTTAGGCCCAACCACAATTTCTTAACACTAGGTAATGATGGTATAAAATTGAGAAATTATCAAAATGAGGAAAATAAATAGATAAGAATTACACCTTCATATCTTCTTCTGGATCTAGACGTGGCAACCCTATATCCTCAAATCTAGAAAGAGTTTCTTTAATTTTTTTCAGTGTGTTTTCTCGAGCTTCCAATGGCAAAAGATCCTTTGGTATGTATACACGCAGACCGGTAATTTTATTGATCTGTAAGCAATAAAAGAGAAAATTATAAATTGATAATCAGTTATTTTATCAATATTGTGAACAATAAAACCATAAATATACAGTTCCAGCAAAACCAAAATTTCAACAATCAATTGGATAGAGGTTATAATATCAAATTCAAACAATTGAACTTGAATAGTAGATGAGTTATTCACAATGCAATAGAAAACACACATATTCACACATGCACACAATGTATCATATGTGTTAAGCACCATACTCTTTTTCCTAGTACTGGTTTTTTTTTATGATGTAATTTAAGAAGTATCATAAAAGAATATTTAAGAACAAATTCTTTATTTTTTTTATTAAATCTGTAAAATTAACAATTTAGAGTCCAAACCTGCATATAGATTACATCACTTAACAGCTTAAATTACTTTACCTGAGAGATAGGAATGGAAACCACTATAGGTTCTCCATGTTCTTTCAGAGGAACAATCTCAACAGATTTTTTTCCGAGTTTATCTTTCCTCGCCACACATTTTGTAAGAACATCAACTTTGTAAGATGCATCTTCCGGCTTTATGTTCACATCATCTGATATGTTGACTACGTTATTACAAGGAACTAAAATTTTAATGTACAAAAGTATATATAAATCACAAGAAGCCATTGAAAATTATCACCTTCAGAAACGCCCTTAATCCTTTCAAAATTAATGATCAACCCCCAAGTTAACTGATCCTCAACAAAAATGGGAGAAAGTTCTTCATCACTTGAAGTGCATTGGATAGAAACAAGCCTCCCAGGCTGTAAAAAAGGTAAACAGTACCTTGGAGATAACACAATGTCACGAACGTCCTTATTCAAACTTCTAAGCTGCTCTAGAAGATTGTAATAATCCTTCAAACTGTCTTCTTCTTCAATAACAATTGATTCCCTCTCTTCTTCAAATGCTTTTATTTGTTTCTGGATACACAAAATTATTAAGAATAAGTTTAAAAAACTAATCTTTTCTTGATATAATTTCCAAACCAACAATAGAAGAAAAATTAATTATTAAATAAAGGTTTTCTTAGGAACCAACTGAAATAGAAGAACACCAATGGTTTTATATAACTACTATATGCCTCTTCACAAGAACAAATTAAGTGCCCGCTTTATGTCCCTACTGAAATTAAACCTATTTCTCTAGAATGAAGAATAGAGGTGAAATTAAACCTATTTCTCTAGAATGAAGAATAGAAATATTTTTAACCCGCAATTGAAAAGAAAAATTACAAATGAATGAGTAACCTTAAAATTTTAGAGAGATGGTATTAGAGCCTTCATAAATTTAAATCTCAGTCAAAATATATACTACACAGAATGCCTTCATAAATTTAAACAAACCTCAAGATCGGGAATGGCACGATCAGCTTGGAACTGAAAAAATGAATTACGGAGTAAATTTTCAGGATCACCGTCTTCACAGCGCATTTGGTTCAAAATCATGTTGTAGCTTAAATGGAAGGCACTGAGATGTAAAGCATATATGTAAGATAGAGGTAACAGTTCATTTACAGAAGCTACAATATTAAAAATAGAGAACATATTTCTTTTGGTGAATGAAGATCGTATTATCAAAAGCTTAACAAGCATTAGACAACTATCATTGATTTTGTTATGTTCAAGCATTAAATTTAGAACAATCTGTTCATGGCATCGTTTTTTATGTCACAACTCATAAGTCACGTCGCAATTGCTATCATGTGTGATTTTTCAATTCCCAATAAAATTTACATTTATTAAACTAGAGTTTTAGTTACTACACAACTAGGGAACTCTCACAACAGGCTATCAGAGAAATGTAAATTCAGGCATCATCATATGTGAAGTGTTAGATATTTAAGAACACCAAGATTAATTCCAGTAGTAACGCATCACAATCTATAAGGCTTTGCCAAAAATGGACAAATTCATCTTTAGTGATATATAATTATCAGAATTAAACAGACAATTTACCTGTTTAAACTATCTGCTGCCCCTTTAACCATCGACTTAGCGGTAGAAGGCTCCATCTTCTCATCAATCATGAGGATACATACTCCCCGATCATCAATACCTCGTCGACCAGCACGACCACTCATTTGTATATATTCTCCACTGGTTAACCACCTAAATTTGTCCCCGTCAAATTTTCGGACATTTGTAAAAACTACAGTTTTTGCAGGCATGTTCAAACCAATACTGAAGGTCTCTGTGGCAAACAAACACTGAAGAAAATATTTCAGTAGTTGAAAGATTTAATATCGTTGTAAAACAATGAGTGTTTATTATATCAACAAATAGAAGTAGATATGAAAATATGTTTGTTAAATACAATATTGATCACTATTCTCAGTATCCCAAAAATTACAAAACAAAGTAAATAAAGCATAGAAGAGAACTAGGAAACCCCTACCTAGTATTACCAACAACAACAAACCTTATCCCACTAAGTGGATCGGCTACATGGATCAAACGACGCCATAAAGTTCTACTGCATCTCTATCCGACTCATTAATCTCTATATCTTAATATATCTGATATTTCAAAGCAATAATATTTTGTAGTAGGCAATGGCATCTCCTAACTTGTACTACTGTGACCGTAAATCCTAAACTAGATTTTGAGTTATATGATTCCAAAACTTTGATCACTTGGAAAACAATAATTTATGCAGTTAATGAAGATATGGGTGTCCAGTTATGCGCAATTTCTAAACTTGTATAGACAATATCCTATCTCATGCTTTTTTCACTAACCTTGATTAGTCCTTCTTGAAATAAGATCTCAATCACTTCCTTTAGAATTGGGAGTAATCCAGAGTGATGCACTCCGATTCCACGTTTCAGCAAGGGCAGCATGTTCAAAACCTGAAAAAATTGATACAAATTCTTCATGGTGAGCTATATTTTGTTTGTAATAGAAGAACCGTTCCTATTAGATTTAGAGGAATGCACAGCTACAGAGGGATAACATAGTCTCCAATTTCAAAGCAGAAAAAGATAGTTTAAAAAGGAAACATGAGAACGTTTAAGATTGCATTAAGGATTCCCATCCCAATCTCATGCAATATATTGAAATTGGAAAACAACCATGATCAAAGCACCAAAGAGAATCAAAAATCAAAACTCACGAGTTCAGAATGCAATTTGATTTTGACAGAGAAACAAATGCTTAATTTAGATCCACAAATCGAACAAAGATAATCAACCAAAGACCGGGTAAAGCTCCAAATAAGGCAAACCTATTAAATATGAAATCTACTAGTCCTAAGGAATCCTTGTTTTCTTAAATTGTAGGTGTGATAGAACTAACAAGAGAAAATTGAATCTGGTTTAAGAGATGAGTGTTATTTAAAAATAATAAGAACTATACACAGTTTGTTGAACAACTTGAAGTACGCTAAAAATCAGAGATCTGCTTGAGGCATGGTAAATGTGCCCAGAAGGATAAAACACCAAAGTTAATTAAGTAACTTGCCTGAGGCAGCTTCTTATCATCATCTGAAAGCATATCCATAGCACACCAAAATATTTTTTCTATATTGTCCTTCTCTGTGTCCCCATTAAGATCCATTTTTGCCATCTGCAGAAACCATAGACAACATCAAAGACATAGTATATCACTCATGAAAGAATGAAAAAATGTACGTTTTGCAATGAACATCAATTAGAACTTACCTGCATTGCAAGAAATTCACACTCCCTCTTGCTAAAGCTGAACAGTATCACGGGATCGTATTGACGTTGGATGATCATTTTCACCATCTTGAATATGTCGCTTTCTTCAGCTGCCTTGCCTAGCACCAGACCTTTTTGCCACTTGGCATTTTCTTTTTTCCTATCATCATCAGCAGCGGGAACAAGAGCGTTCAAAGCTTTATGAAAACTGTCTTCGCGAAATTTTCCCTTTTCATCCACAACTAAGTAGAGACCCTCGCTTCCGGAAGGAAAAATATAATGTTGAAGAGGAGTTGGCCGGTAATCTGTATAAACAATATGACAAGGCTGTTGGTGCACCTGCAATCAACCCAAATCATAAGACCACCAGCAATACATCTATCCTCTCATTCAAAGAAAAAAAAAACGAAAAAAATGCCACTATATAGATATTAAATCAAATAAAATTGAGATTAATTAACCTTTGCCACCCAATCAGCAAACTCTTTGGCATTAGGGACAGTAGCAGACAGGAAGACAAATCGAGCATTCTTTGGCGACATAACAATGCTCTCTTCCCAAACTACACCTCTTTCTCGATCGCGCATGTAATGCACCTCGTCAAAAATGATCCAAGCTACCTCCCTAGTGACCTCAGAGCCTTTGTATTGCATACTTCGCCAGATTTCAGTAGTCATGACCTAAAACAAATAAACATTTATATAAGTTAATTTTAAACCTCATCTGGAAGACAGACCAGTATATACTAGTTGGTATTAAGGAAGTTTTCATAAGCTATAAGTTGTTTTTATATATCTATAAGATGTTTTCATAAGCTATCTTTAAGAGCTTATATGAAAATAAGCTGAAAACAACTTGTGGACATGTCACAAGCTGTTTTTATAAGTTCTCAGAAACTGTTTCACAACTACTTATACCAGTAGATAAACTCACATAAGTCAATCCAAACATACCCTAAATAGGAACAAAACTCTTCTAAAAAGTAGACATTAAAAAAAAGGAGTAAATAGTAAAAAGCTTTGGGTTGCCATAATAGATAGTACCAAGCAAGAAGCATTGGGATCAATGGTAACATCACCGGTCATCAAACCAACATCAGAAAACTCTTCTTTAAATTCTCTATACTTCTGGTTACTAAGTGCCTTGATAGGAGAAGTGTAGATAACACGTTGACCATCTCGAAGCGACATAGCAATTGCATATAAAGCCACGACAGTTTTTCCAGCAGATGTATGTGCAGATACCTGTAAACAAAAAACCATCCAAAATCAAATTTAGTTACCTATGATTAATATTTTCAATTGCATATCACAGAAAAAAGTAATTTGTTCAAATTCTGCTACACGCTACAGTCACTATTTTAGTTGCTATAAAATCATAAATCTATTTTTAGTAGCTTCTCTAAAAGAATGAGCATTCATAACTGATTTACAACAGCTTCCAAAACCTAACGTGTCCAAACAAATTGTATTATTTTCTACTTTTCTTAAAAAAGCTCTAAACTATTGAATATTAAATCACATAACCATAACGAATTCAGAGTTTTCAGTAATAGCTTGAGTTTGAAAATCAAACTTAGTTACGAATGATCGGTGTTGTCAAATGCAGATGGCAGAAAATAGTTGTTTGTTCAAAATCTCTTATGCAAAAGTGTTATAGCTGCCACTTGACAATACTTCGTACTTAAAAGCCTATTGCTTAACATTAGTGCTATAGGTCTCTGTTTGTACCAAACAGCAGTTGGTTGATAAGCTAGCTGATAGCATATAGTTTATGACCGATGACAGGTAGCTTATAGCTTATAACTAATAGCTGATAAACTCATTGTTTGGTAAAATTAGTGGTTCAACTATCTGATAAATGTAAAATGACATAAAAAGACAGTTCTTAATTAATAATATAATGTATATTTAAGATACTAAGAGTAAAAGTAGATTTTAATTAAAATAATAAGGGTAAAAATGGAAGAAAAAACCATAACCTATTAGTTAAAACGCTATTTGAAATAGCTTTTGGAAAATAAGGTATAAGCTACTAAAATAAATAACCCATAAGCTCGAGATGAAAAAATCGTTACCAAGCAAATCTTTACTTATCATATGAGCTTATGAGCTATAAGCTATAAACTAAGCTAAAAAATCATAAGCTGATTTTTTACAACTTAAAATAAGTGATTGTGATGTTCATTATAGCAGAAAATCAGCTTCTCTTAAACAACCTCTAAATTATTGAATACAAAAATCACATTATTTATAATACATAACAAACAGGCTCTTAACTAACAATATTGCTTATGATAATCAAAATAATCAAAACTAAACAAACAATAGAAAATTAGGGTTTAACTAACCATAACGGATTCAGAATTTTCAAGACAATTAATAGCTTGAGATTGAAAGGGATCGAGTGTAAAAGGGAACTTCTTAGCAGGTTCTTTGGTTTGAGATGAATCAGAAGAAGTAGAAGATGAAGCATGAATGTAGCCATGTGGATACGATACGTCGTGAAGACAATCGTATTGCACTTGTGAAGTTGTTGCCGTTGTGGTTGGTTCTTCCGGCGATTTTCTCTTCAGAGACCCCATTATTTGTTTAAATAAATTTATAAATAATTGGATTCTATCTTCTCAGAAAATTCACAGCACAATAACAATAGAAATTGAGAATTATTGTGTCTCTGTTGAGTATGAAGTTGAAGTTTTGTGGCTAAAGGCGTCGTTTTAGCGTTTTAGGATGCAAACGTAGTAGCAGTAGCAGAGAGAGTCACTGTCGTGTTGCGGCAGCAGTAGTAGGTGGCGTTGTGCCGAAGATTCTAACTGTTTGCGGCGGCGACAACCGGCTCAGGCTGTGTTTTCCGTCGAGTTGAGTTTGGTATAGTGTAGGCAGCGGCTGATTTGTTTTGCTTTGTTTGAGGGATTTGTTGAGTTTATGGGGGTTGGGGTTTAGGTTTGGAAATATATAATAATTAATTTTGAAATTATTATTAAAACAAATTTAAATAGACTCGTCTTCTTAAAATAGATAAATATAAAACAAACTCATCTCTTTTATTTAATTTTTTTTAAGGTTATTTGATAGTGTTTTGAACTGGGCTCACGCTTAATTCACAATTAATTAGGTTCAAATTTCAGTAAATTTTATCTCATACTCCTATATTAATATTTTTTAGACCAAAATACCTTCATAAAAAAATTTATAATTTTTTTTATTTGTTTACCGAAAGACTTTTTGCAAAGTCTTTTGGTTCACATTTTTTTCGTTTGTTCACCTGAAGACTTTTTGCAAGTCTTCAGATTTATATTTTTTCCGTTTGTTGACTGGAAGACTTTTTGGAAGTCTTCTTGTTCATGTTTTTTTTTTAATTTTTAATATTGTCAATTATAATTTTTTTTATTTACTATCCTATCATATAATTTATTAAAAATTAAAATTAACATTTATATAATATTGTCAAATATTATAATATTTTTAATTATCTTAACGTTAGTTTTTTAATTCTATTCATAAATACAAATCAAAAGTAGAATATATAATATACAATTATAGTTCATAGTCATTTAATTTTATTTAATTTAATATCAAAGAATTATTTTAAATTTCTGGATTCAAACATTGACCGAAACATATATTAATCATTTTTTAAATTATCAGTATTTGAAAACTATATATTTAAGGAAAAAATCTGAATTCATTCAACAAGCAAAAAATGAATTGATGTCTAATAATAAATTTTTTAATATTAAATAAATGATGGAGGAAAAAACAAAACATAATGTCAATGATTTATTTTAAAAAACAAAACATAATGTCAATGATATATTAATAATAATTACAATAATAAAAAACTTAATAATATTGATAATAATAATAATAATAATAATAATAATAATAATAATAATAATAATATAGTCCCAACAAGCAAATAATGAAAAAGGTTATGATCTATTTGTTTTTTACTCACTTGTCTCAACTATTTTATTAATAATATTTTTATTCTAATTTAAATTATCAGTATATGAAAACTATATATTTAAGGCAAAAATTTGAATTTATTGAGTAAGAAAAAAATGAATTGATCTTCAATAATGAATTTTTAATATAAAATAAAATATGAATGGGAGAGAGAAAAAGGGCGAACACGTCAAAAGACCGAGGGGGCGTAACCCGCCTCCTCGACACGAACCGTCACCTCCGCAATCCCCAGTTCGCAACGATGAGGATGACTATAGGACCCCTCTGTCGTGGGAAATCATGGCGACCCCCATCCCCCACGGGATGGAAAAGCCACTCATGCTCTCGACGTACGACGACACTTCGGACCCAGATGACCATCTGGAGGATATCGAGGTGATGCTCGACTACAGGAACGTCTAGAGCCTGAGTCCGTCACGTCTTGGAGGGTCCTGAAGGATCTATTTTCACGGCATTTTACAGAGTCAAGGTGGAATCTGAAGACGGAGGACGCACTGGGCGCGATCATCCAGGCTGCGGGCGAGCCTCTCAGGAACTACATTAAGAGGTTCACGAGAAAGGCGGTCCAGGTAACGACTTCGGACGATATGAAGCGCTACCTGATGGAGAAGGGTCTACGCCGAGGCTCCAAGTTCTACGTGGCTATGGCCATCCACCATCCGGACACCCTCCAAGACTTCCTCGAGAGAGCCTGTCATTATATTCGGTTTGAAGAGACCGAGGCCGCCAACACTACTCGTGAAACCCGCAATCGAGAAACCTCTCATGGGTCCCAAGACGAAGGAGCGTCAGACCCCCGGCGCGAGGGAAACCGACGACGAGAGGATCGTCCCCAAGAACCCCGGGAGCAAAGGGGCCTCGTTGGCTGTTTTACTGAGTACACGGCCCTAGTCGCTTCCCGCGAGCGCATATTGGTTGAGTGCGCCAATTCGGAGTTTTCCCGAAGAGGTGTCCGTTTTCTAAAACCGACATCCACCAAAGCCAATGTGTACAAATCTAAATATTGCTGCTTCCACCGAAGCCACGGGCACGTGACGGAGGATTGCATCCACCTGAAGGACGCAATCGAAATTCTAATCAAGGATGGGCACCTGAAGAGGTACACCAGGGAAGGAGATGCCCCCCGACAGGAAGCTCCCGAGGCTAAAAGAGTCGAGGACCTTCCCCCTCCCGACAATGATTTCGGCCTGCAGGTGTCCCTTAGCGTTGGTCGGTCGGAAGACTGGTTTACGCTGAGAGAACTCGATCTCCCCGTTGAGCTTCAGCTTCCCGAAGAGTCGGTGCGCCCCGTCAGCCGGTGGGAATACTTCCCAAGAGCGTTGGTTATTTCAGGCGAGACTCCGAGCAAACTCACGATCGGGTCGGTTAAAAGAAAGTCTGATGAACTAATGAGCAACAGCTCAAGCAAAATGAGCACGCTTGATAAGTTTTGCAGGCAATCCAACCCGATCACCTTCTACCTTGAAGAGCTCCCCGGGGTAGCCCCCAACTCGGCCATACCCCTGCTGATACGGGCACAAATTACCAACTTCGACGTCTGTCGCATCCTGGTCGACGAAGGAAGCTTAGTGGATATCATGTATACCCACCTCTTCTCCACGCTCCAGCTCGAAGAGACCAACCTGACTCCCTACCTGGAGTCCGACCTCCAGGGGTTCAACGGGACGACGACTAGACAGTGGAGATACATGGAGCTCAAGGTAACCTTTGGGTTAAAGGAAACGTCCAGGGAAATCAACGTCTGATTCTTGGTCGTTGAATGCCCTTCACTGTACAACTGCATCCTCGGCAGGATAACACTGGTCGAACTAACCGCGGTGCCATCAACCGTCCACCTGAAGATGAAGTACTATACCCAGCTGGGAGTTGTCGTCACCCTCAATAGGGATATAGAAGTTGCCTGGCGATGTTTCAAAACAGCAATGAAGGGCCTTAGCACAATCGGTCCCGTGACCAAAGCAACTAAGCCCTCCCCCGTCACGGAGAACAAACTGAAGGATCACGTCGACGTCGTAGACCTCGACTACTGTTTCGCCGAAGAGCCAACTCACCAGGACGCCGCCGAAGACATTCCTCCAACCACCAACGGGCAGCCCATCCACCCAACACGCCCCATTCTAGACGGGGACTTCGAGATCGTAACCCTCGGCGAAGACGCGACGAGGACCATGAAGATTGGGGCGGGGCTGCCCGACCTAGCGAGGAAGCAGCTGAAGGTTTTCCTCCGTGAGAACGCCGATATGCCTAGACTCGACCCTGAGGTTGCCTGTCACCAGCTCTCCATCAACCCGGCCGCTAGGGTCGTAGCACAACGTAGACGTAGGCACTCCCCCGAAAAGTCGGCGGCGGCTGAAAAAGCTGTAAAAGACCTCCTATAGGAAAATTTCATTTCGGAAGCCCGACATTCAACCTGGTTGTCCAACGTTGTATTAGTCAAAAAATCTAATGGAAAATGGAGGATGTGCATTGACTACATTGATCTCAATCGGGCATGTCCTAAGGACGCCTATCCCCTCCCCAACATTGATAAGCTCGTCGACAACTCGGCAGGTTTCAAACTACTATCCTTCGTGGACGCTTACTTAGGGTACAACCAGATCCCCATGGTCGAGGCTGACAAACAGAGCACAACGTTTATGACCGAGTCGGACAACTACTATTAAAACATAATGCCCTTCGGCCTAAAAAATGTCGACGCCACCTACCAACGGATGATGAACAAAGTCTTCCGGGGAGATATCGGCGACATGCTCGAGGTATACATGGACGACATGATCGACAAGTCCTACATGGAGGTCGACCACACGGCGCACCTCAAGAAAGTCTTCGAGACAGCGAGGAAGTGCAGGATGCGATTCAACCCAGAGAAGTGCACCTTCGGGGAGCGTGCAGGGAAGTTCCTCGGATTCTACCTGACCGAATGGGGGATTGAGGCGAACCCAAACAAGTGTCGGACCTTCTCCGAGATCGGGACGCCGAGCACGAAGAAATTGATACGGTCCCTCAACGGGATGCTCGCGTCGTTGTCTCGTTTCGTCTCCAAGTCTGCACATCACATCCTCCCTTCTTCAAGCTACTGAGAGAGGAAGTCGCGTTTGAATGGACGGAGGAATGCGAACAAGCCCTCCTCCACCTCAAATGTGTCCTGTCAGAACTATCCGTCCTGACGAGGCCTGATGTTGGGGAAGTCCTCTACTTGTACTTTGCCGTGTCAAACGAGGTTGTAAACGTCATACTGATCCAGGAAACCACTGATGGGCAGAAACCGATCTACTTCACGAGCAAGGCCCTCCACGGCCCAGAAGTAAATATCAGCGAATCGAGAAAGTCGCCCTGGACCTTATCAACACGGCCAGGAGGCTCCGACACTACTTCATGGCCCACACCATCATGGTCAGAACCGAACAACCCATCAAGCAGCTGCTCGGACGGCCCGACATGGATGGGCGCACGCTGAAGTGGTCGCTGGAACTCTCCGAGTTCGACATCGTCTACAAAGGCAGAAAAGCTCTTAAGGCCCAAGTCCTGGCCGACTCTGTCGCCGAGATGACCCCCGCGACAGAATCCACCCCGGGAACTCACAAGTGGACCATCTTCCTCGATGGCGTTTCAA